GGGAGCCCGGCGGGCTGGTGGGTGCTTGGAGCCTGCAGTAGCACAGATTAGCCCAGTTCGATATCCAGCATCATTAAGTGTTCCCCGTGGTGTTAGAGCACAGAAAAAGGGGCAGGAATGGAGACTGGGGAAGAAAAATTAGGAAATTCTGTGCAGAAAGAACTGCGGTTATCCAAATCTTTGATCAAAGCACCATCTAGTGAAGAACAGACTCCTTGCAGCTGGCAGCGCTCTGGGCAGCTGCACCAACATTTGCCTTTCACCACGAGTTTGCTGCTAAAAACCCCCCAAAATCACCCAAATATGCACGGCCCGTGCTGGACCTGAACGAACACGCCCCAAAAATTGCTGCCCTCTCCTTAAATCTGTCTGAGTGGAAACGCGTTCCTGTGCTCCCCTCAACTCCCACCAGAGAACCTCAGCCCCTGAATCCCGCAGGGAACGAGGCACCACAGGAAGAGAAGGATTTCCATGTTGTAGTTTGGGAGCTAAGGAAAAGAAAAGGTAAGTGAGCGGTCCAAGGTCGTGCAGGAAGCCAGAGGCAGATCCGGGAATAGAGATCAGCCACCCTGGACCCAGGGATGCCTGAACAATAGCACAGCCTCTCCCTCTGCTGTCATTTAACTCCTTCCTGACCCACCAAAACCCACAGAGGGGTGGGCTCTCCTCTCCTCTCCTCTGCAGATGTGCCTTTACAGCTCGTGGGGGCCCAGCCCTCAGCCTGCACCTGCTTTTCCCCCTCCAAACCAACAAGTAAAGGCAGTAGGGAAGGACAGGGTTGGGTGTCCTGAGAGCAGTGAAGCTGCAGGTAGGAAATACTTCTGTACAGCTGGCCTGAGCTGTCCTCTCATCAATTAAACCACAATTAGCATCTGTTTATGGAAATGGTGCCTCGGCTTTGCCATTTCTGTGTGTGACAAAACACCCCTCTCTCCCCTGGAAGCATCCAGCTCCATGAAAGTGGCTGTGGAGTGTGGGGAGCTAGAGCTGCAGGAGGAGAGGATGTTGCTGCCTCTCCCTCTTCCCCAGCTTTTGGGTTATCTGCAAGGATTGGGGATTTGCAGCACGATCACACATCAGAAATGCAGTTTCACTAAGTCTACGCTGTTCTCACACTGAGCTTGGAAATGCTGCAGTGCAGGCTCTGGAGGAGACAGTAATTACAAACAAACCTTATAGAAAATAGCTGAAAAAGAAAAATAATACTCAGGTGGTGGAAAAAAACTGAACTCCAATGAACTGAACCTGCAGCAAAATTCTCCCAGAGACCAGAGCTGAGAGAAACAGTGACCAAGTACCCAGAAAGAGTTCTCTGAAAGGAGTTTGATGTCCTTGAGTCAGAGCCCAGCTCCAAACCAGAACTACAACTGAGGCAAAAGTTAAGACCATCTTCTCGGGTCACTGTCTGGAAGGGACACAGACAAATCTGCAAACAGCTGCAGGGGCAAAGAACTGGAAAAGCCCTGAGAAGCCCTTATTTTTCTCTTTTCCATCCTAGGTCTGTTTTTTTTTTTTTTGTTTTTTTTTCCCCTACCAGTTTTCCGTCCTAGGTCTGTTTTTTTTTTGGTTTTTGTTTTTTGTTTTTTTTTTTCCCCTACCACCCTAGAATGTTTTCATTGACTCCAATTATGGGAGCAGGGAGGGAGGACGAGAGTCTGCACCCTTGTATGAGAGGCTGAGGCAAGAAAATCTTTAATCCTGCCACAGCCCTTTGAACATTTACATTTCCCAGCCACAGGCACTGTGAAACTGGGAGCTCTCAGTTCAAACTAGTTCAAGGATGTTTTCCCTGGGGAAGGCTTTTGTTACCCTGTGGGGATTTCTGCCCAGGTCTTTGCTCTGAGGGTGAGCAAGCACAGCTTTTCTTACAGAAAGAAGTGGCATCTTATACTCCTTGAAAAAGGAAAAGTGACAAATAAGAGCCCACAGGAACTAGGGCACAAAATTGCTGCCTTAGAGATTAGGGTTAAAAGGCTGCAGATCTGCACTGGGTGATTGCAGTAAAGCAGGTGTCACCAAACTCAAATCCTTGAGTTTGGAGATTTTTTTTCTTTTCTCCCCCTCAAGAAAGAGCTGCACTCCAAGAGGGCAGCGATAGAACAGCAGGATGTTTGTCAAGGAAGTGTTAACATGCTAAAAGGATTCCAGCCCTCTGCAGTTGTGGCCTGACAAAATGAGAAAGAAAAGAGATTTGAGTGCAAATAAAACCAACAAGCACAGTTTTAGATTATGCCAACATTTACCAGTTGGGGCTTGCACAGTCTGCAAACCAGTCCTAGATTTGGGAGAGAGTCTCCACTGATGGTTCAGAGAACAAAGACATGTTGACATCAGTAAATCTTCTAATCCCAGTGCCCGATGTGTCAATGAGCAGGTTTCAATCAGAGGTGAATTTCTTGCTAATTACATTAGATTAACCTAAGGAAATGGAATCCCAGTCAAAGCAACAAAGTCAAGCTTTCCTTCACTGACTTTCCAGCTGCAGCTCCAGTTTTGCTCTGTGACTTGCTGGGCACTTGGTTTCAACTGTGCCAGCACCTGCCCGCCTGGGAGAGCATTCCTGTTCAAATAAACACCTGGGAGGTCCCAGGTGAATGAGCAGAACAGCCTGGGCACAGCTCTCAGGTCACTGCTGTGCTCTGCATGAAGCTCCAGCTCTTGCTGCCCCACCTGGCTGGGAAAGAAGGACTGAAATGGTTTTTTCCAGCTCTGGTTTTCAGGAGACTGAACCAACTACAGCTCCCAGTGAGGCTACCATGACATAAACTACCTTCTTCTGGGTTGTATTTTTCGATTTAATAAGTGTAAATAAAATTATTGATCCTTCCATTTCATTACATACTGTCCCTGAAGTAAAAAAAAAAAAAAAAAAAAAAAAAAAAAGCATTATCATCCTTCCTTTCAGACAGTAATTTTTAGGAAGATTTTGAATTATTTTCTCATCTTTTCCCTGAAATATTGATCCCTTACTAATGATGAACCGGCACTGAAGCTTTGAATTAATTTCAGTGTTTTCCCTATTAGAAGAGAGGACCAGAAAAAAGCTACCATAAAAATTGGTGATAAAACCACCTTTCAAAGAACTGCTGCAAAAAGCTGTCCTTTATCTCCCTGCTGTCCACAGGGAAAGACATCTGGGATTAACTTGGAAATGTTTAAATATCTCTGACTCCTCTGTAAATGTCCCTTCTGCTCTTAAAACCTTCACAAAGAGGTGCAGGAACTCCCTGTGCCTTTCCTTCCTCAGGGCAAGGGCTCTGACACGTTTGGACTTTGGGCTTTTGGGATCACTGGGGCCACTTCAGAGTTTGTGCCTCTTATCAGAGCCAGGGGATTTAAAGCTGCACAGCCTGCAGCACGTCCAGGCCCCATTTCTGCACAGAAAACCAGAGAAATCATCAGAGAAATCGTCAGAGAAATCATCAGAGAAATCATCAGAGAAATCATCAGAGAAATCGTCAGAGAGGGCAGAGAAATCTGGGATGGGTTTTTCACCATCACAAATCTGAAAGAGGCTCTGCAGAAATGTCTCTTTTCTCCTACAGGAATTTACTGCTGTTCCTCACAGTCGGCCTTGCACAGTCCTGTCCTGTGCCAGTGTCACCCTCACAATGGGATTTTGGGGTGTCCTGTGCCAGTGTCACCCTCACAATGGGATTTTGGGGTGTCCTGAGCCAGTGTCACCCTCACAATGGGATTTTGGGGTGTCCTGTGCAGGCCAGGTGCCGCTGGCCCCTGTGGGTCCCTTCCAGCCGAGCTTTTTCTGTGGCTGTTTCCGATGTTTTCCTGGGCGATGCCGCAGTTCCGAGTTTCTGTGGCTGCAATGGGCGCTGGGCTCGCAGGGTGTGCAGGGAGGGCTCGGTGGGGCCCAGCAGCGGCACAGGACGGACGGGCAGGATCGGATGCCCGGGAGGTTCCCCCGGCCATGAGAAGAAACCTCCCCGTGCAGTGCCCGAGGTCCGAGCATGGAGGCTGAGGAGCCTCCCTCCCTCCCTCGCTGGCCATATTCCAGAGCAGCTCTGTGCCGTGCTGAGCAGGGAGGCTGAACACGCCCCACAGTCCCCTCCAGCCTGACCCCTCCGGGATTTTGTGATTCTGGGGCTGAGGGCATGCCCACCCGGGGGGAACCCAGAGGGGCGGAACCCCTGGTTGGCATCGCCGCTCCCCGGCCGGGCGGCACAGGCGGGAGGACAGGTGAGGGCAGATGTTCTCCGACAGCCACTTCCGGTTGGCGTCACGGGGAGCGGAGTCCGGGCGGAAGCGGCCCGGGCCCACTTCCGGCGGTGGCCATGGTGACGGCGGCGGCCAGGTGGGGACAGAGGGGACAGGGAGGGATAGGGAGGGACAGGAGGGACAGGAGAGTGGGGCCGGGGGGCTGCGGGGCTCTGGGAAATGCGGGAGAGCTTGGGGCAAGGCGGCGCTGGGGCGCGCAGGGACACCGAGCGCTCTCCGGGACAGAGTCCACCGCCGGTACCGCCATTAAAAATCTAACTATAGGTAAATCAGGGACACAGCCCGCCGTCATGGCCTCACGGAGCTCCTGGTTTGGTAAACGTCTGCACAACGCTTTCTTTGGAGCAACAAATGTTTCAGTTTTGTGAGCAGGCCGCTTTTGTTTCTGTCGCGGACACCAGCAGAGGAATTCCCAGAGGGAGGGAGGGAGGGAGGGTGGAATCCCACTCTGTACCCGAGCACAGGGACAGGGAGGTAACGAGAAAGCGATTCACAGAATCCCAGGTCGGCTCGGGGTGAAAGGACCTTAAATCCCACCTCATTCCACGCCTGCCAACACCTTCCAGTGGCGCAGGTGGAATTCCAGGCGCTGTCTCCAGCCCAGGCTGGGGCTGGGTGCTGAACACAGATTTTTTTTCCCCTCTTGCTGCACCGTGGGTTGAAGAACTCAGGCGGGATGCACTGAACGATGCTGAGATCCAGCAGAGGCTGATGCTGCAGGTAATGCCTGGCTGGCAGCTTCCTTTGGGAATTCCAGCTGTTCCAGTTGTTCTCCTCCTCCTGTTTTTTCCTGTTTGGATGAGCAGCTCTGCCCAGTTGCTGCGTTCCCCCTGAGGAGTTTTTACTGCTGTCAGAGGTTTGAGTTCACGTCTGTTTTCTCAGTCTGGGGGTTAAACTGAGGTTCCCCTGCCCTGGAAAGGTCAGAGCCTGTGCTCCCAGGGTTTGTTTTTAGAGCAGCCCAGGGCTGGGCTGGCATTGGACGCTTGCTTGGGCCGCTGCCAGTTCCACATTTAGCTCGGGGCTCTCCTGCTGCAGCACCGGGGCAGCTCCAGCTCAGAGTCACTGCAAGTGAGCCCTTTCTCAGGTAGGACCTTGTGCTTTCTTCACACTGAAGCTCTCCCTCGAGCCTCGAGGAGCTGTGCTTTTTTCCTTAGGAAATCCAGGGTTTTTTCCCCCTCCTTTTATCCCCCCAGCCGTTGGATTTGGGGTTGCAGCCTCCCAGCTGGTGCCACTAAAGGACAGTGTGATTCTGGGAGCCTGGAGCTGCACAATTTTATTTATTATTTATTTATTATTTTCAGTTTCATTCCCCCCTTGTTTGGGGAAGCTTCCAGGGGTTTGGTTCTTCAGGATCTGGTCTCATCTTTGCACCCCTGAGCTTATTCATAAATATCCTTGTTCCTTCAGAAACCATTGTGCTGGCTTGTGTGGGAGAACACCCAGTTTTGTTTTAAAGGGAGAGTTCTGGGTTTATTTTTAATTGGATAAATGTGATTGATTCTGTGGGAAGCCTTCAAAAAGTTTCCTACCCCCTGTATTTGCTGGCATTATCAGTATTTTTATTTCTGCTCTCTGATAACCTGCATGTTCCAATCCTGCCCTTTGGGATGGAGAACTGGGAATTACAGGGTTTGGTTTGCAGTTAATGAGCAGAGGCTGAAATCCTGCTGTAATAAACATCACTGTTAAAAACAGGGGTTTTTCAGTGTGAATACCCAAATTATTGAGCACAGGTGACAGTGGGTGTCAGAGCTCGGGGCAGGAGGCCTGAGCTGGTGAGTGCAGCTCAGCTGAGCTGTGCACCCCACGTGCTCCCCACCTTCACCCCCATTTCCATGTGACACAGCATTTTCTGCTCTGGGGTCCCTTCAGTGGTACCTGAAGTTGGGGCTGTGAGAGAAGCAGGTCACAAAATCAAAGCAAAACTTTTCTGTAGGTCTGAAGTGCTGCAGAAGTTCTTCAGTCCCAAATGATTTGTTCAGCTGGGTTGTCCTCTCTCTCAAGTCTGACTGAGCTGAGATTTTCTTTGTTTTGGGGGTTTTTTTAAGAGGCCATTTGAGCACCTTGGAAGAAGGCACTGCATCTTCATGCCCCAAAATAATAATTATTATAATATATATAGGGATTTCCATCTCTGATTGGCAACTCCTTCTCTCCCTGGCTCCTCTCCTTTCTCTTCCCCATCCCATATTTCCCCTCCCCAGAGCTGTTACCTGGTGGCTCAGGCTCCAGCCTGGAAGCTGCCACAGCAGGTTGTTGTTCTTGGTTTGCTGCAGCCCTCAGGCAGAGATGGACAATCTGCCCAGTTCCTGTGTATGACAGGAGAAAAAGGAAATACAACAAGATTAGAAATATTTTTCAGACCTCAGTGTGCTTTAGTTAGGAGAGGTGTCAGGAAAGGCCCCTCTTCTCAGTTACCTTTTCACCTGCATTCCACTGGATCCACAGCAGGGCCAGATTTTTCCAGTGCCCCATGAAGGAAGTGCCAGTGCACCTGTCAGCTCCCACTTGGGAAATAATGAAAGGGCCTGAACATGGCCTGAGGGTTTTTTGATTCCAGAATGTCCTGTAAGGCCAATGTCAGCACAGCACCTGTTGTCCCTGCCCACACTTTGTGCTGTGAATCTCAAGAGACTTTTGAGAGAGCAAAAAAAGGGGAGTCATAAAAAAGGCAGCTGCTGAGCATGAACTGGAGAAGTCTGAGAGAAGCTTCTCATCCAGCCTGAAAATCCAGTGGCCTTGTGTCAAAACATCTCTTTCCCAGAAATTGTTTTAGGGAAGATCCATTCTCTTATGTCAAATGAGCTGTCCCAGTCCCTGGCTGCAACCAGTGCCAAACACCCTGTGTGCTCTCCCTCAGCACAGAGGATGCTCTGCAGTGCCTGAGCTGAATCCTCCTTTTGGGTTTCTGCTCTCCCATTCTGGGCACACTCCCTGTGCCCTGGGGAGCTGCTGCTCTGATGTCTCCCTGCATTATCCACACTGGGTCCCACCAGGAAGGACTTGAGACCCACACGAGTCACTTTGGGAATGGGAAGTTCCAAAGGAGCCCAAGAAGAGTTGTGTTCTAACTTGGTGGCTTTGTTTTTACACCTTGCCAGGTTTATGTAGAGCTGTCTTCATGTGTTATTTTATTGTGTTCCAGCTGTACCCCCAGAAATAGTTATTTTATTCAGTTCACTGCTATTTCAGCAAGCTGTTCACTGTGCAGCTATTTGAGGAATTCTCTCCAAGCTCCTGATGGATATCTGGAAGAGCCTGACATTTTCCACATTAGCTCTGTTCCCTGGCATGCAGAGCCTCTGCCATCCCCTCAGTGACACTGAGTTCTGCCTCAGCATTGTAGTTACCTCTTGTTTTCTGCTTCTCATGCTCTCCTGTTGAAGGAGCACAAGCTGTGTGCCCAGAATTTGCCAGTAACTTCCCAGGAAAGGCCTGTCTTGCAGTTCAGACTGCAAGAGTTCAGACTCTGCCTGCATGAGAAAGGAGAAGGGAAGGGAAAATTCCCTGATGTTTGGTTCTGGCTTCATCTGTGACCCAGAAGATTTCAGGAATGGGTTATAATTAACTTTAGTCTTAGACCAAGCTTAGATAAAAGCTCAGGGATATGCAGAAGGAAAGTCAGTGGCCTTGTCACAGGAGTCCCACTTGCTCTTTGGCCCTTAGTAAGCTGTCACATAAACTACTCCTTTGAAGGAATGGCTTAGCAAGGAGATTAGGGCTATGCCTTGGTATCAGAATCCAATTCCAGGATGAGATTTCAGTGTGTTAAGCAAATTACTGGCTCAGAGAGAAAACCTGGAGCCTCCAAAAGACAGACTGGCTTATATCCATCTGGGATAACACAGAGTACCTGATCTCTGGCTTGTAGATACTCTGGTACTGGCTGTTCTAGAGAAATCTGAACAGTTTTATACAATCAGAAAAATGTGGAGAAATATCCCAGCCCTGAGGAACTTCATCACAAGAGGGTGAATTTAGGGTAAAACATGGGAACATCATCCCTGAACCCAAGTTTGTGACGTGACAGCTGACAGGATGCAATGCCAAGTGTCCTGCTGGGATGTTCACATTACTATTTCAGTGCTTAAAATTGGGTACTGATGTGAACTTTCCAAAACCTAAATGAAGGGATGAGAAAATCTGCTGAAGCTACAGAGGTACCTTGGTGGTTTACTGGTGGTCTAAGACAGGGTTAAGAAAAATAATTTCAAAGTAGTTTTCAGGCCTTTGCTCATTTTCCTCATGGTGAAATGATCTCTTTCCTTTCATCCTGTGGCTGTAGGAAGACAGTTCAGAAAGGAAAGCTGATGGATTTCACAAGCACTGTCATCGTCCCGCTGCTCTTTGGCAGCCTGGGCATCTTCGCGCTGTTCCGGCTGCTGCAGTGGATGCGGATGCGAGCCTACCTGCAGGAAGCTGTGGTGGTGATCACAGGGGCCACCTCTGGCCTGGGGAAAGGTATGGACCAAACAGGGCACCAGGGGCAGCACAGGCAGGGGGCTGTGGCAGGAGCAGCTCGTGGAATAAAGCAGGAACGAGCTGAAAGTTCCTGTTGATTGAGTTTTGAGAGACGCGGCTCCCACCTGAATTGTAACCACAGCCAGTGTAGATTTGGGTGCAAGGAAGTCTCAGTATTTGGTACAAAAAATTTAAATCACCTTGTATAAACTGGAGCTCATCAAAGCAAGGAATTAGATGCTGTTCTTGTGCTGTCAGGGGTCTTTTCCCTAAATCCTGAAAAAGCCAGGAAGCCAAATTGTTTCTTTAAAACCTCCCAGAAGTGGTGTTGTACCTTCAGGTACTTCCACCTGCTCTACCAAACTTTCCACTCCTTCTCCTTGTCCCTCACCCTCAACTTAAGGTACTTTTCATGGTACAAATCCATCCACTCTAAAGTCAAGCTCTTGGCATTGTTAACACCAGGGAGTATTTTTTTCCAACTGAAACTTATGTTCAGTTTTGCTTCAGTGGCTACATTCTCTAATTCTGCTTTCTATAATTGCTTTAAAAGCTGCTTGAAGAGAAGACAAGGTGCTCTCTGCTATTAAGGCCTTTCATTAGGATGAGTACATTTGTAGAACAAATAGAGCTTTAATTGATGCTGCCTTTGCCTGTGAGTTTGTCCCTAAGGACAGGGGTGTTCAGGAACTGGCCAAAGGAGATGAACTGGTTCTCTCTGCCTGCCTCAACCAAAGGGTGGGAGTGGTAAAGGATCTTGTACTTCTCATCAAGAGAGGAAATTAGTATTCCAGGAGAGACATTCCAGCTGGAGCTCTGTCTGTGCTGTGGGGTGTAGAGACTTCCACCACTGTGCTGTAAAGTTTCCTCCCTTTTTGACTCATTTGCAAGATCTTTTACAACTCCCCTTACTCCTATTATTAATACACCAGACCACCTCTAATTACTGTGTGTTCATTGCCATCCACTGTCATCCCTTGTGCGAACAAGCAGTTTGTCCCTCTGGCTCCCAGAGGGGACAGAAACATGCAGTTAGGAGGACAGTAGCCTGGCATCCCTTCTCCAGGCTTTTCCCAGTGAGGAAAATCACCTTGATGAAGGCATTAAACCCGAGGCTCCCCTCCCAGAACCTCTGGAGGGGTTCATTAAAATTGACACTCCTAAGACCTGTGTTAGATGACACACACAAGGTAACTGTGGTTAAGAAGGACATAAAGTCAAAAATGAAGAGGCAAATGTGAGCAGCTGAGGGGGAGGATGTGTGAACAGCACAGTAAGTGTCTAAGCAGCACAGTATCTGAGAGCACAGCAGCTGCTCGTGTGTCTGTCACAGTCCAGGAGAGTGGGACGTGGCTGTGACCTCTCTGTCAATCAGCCTGGCCACACACAGCAGCAGTGAAGCCACAGCCAGCCAACAGCACTTGGAGCTATCGCTGATGTGGAGCTGTCCTTTGGCTGGTATTCATGTCCCTACTTTTCTCTCTTCCTTGCTTCCCCACAGAATGTGCCAAAGCTTTCCATGCAGCTGGCTCCAGGCTGGTGCTGTGTGGCAGGGACAGTGAGAGGCTGAAGGAGCTGGTGCAGGAGCTTTGTGCCGTGAAGAATCACCGCAAGAACGTGAGTGTGGGAGCAGCACAGGCCCCCGGGCTCACGTGGCCTGGGTTTCTGCTGGGGCTCTCACAGGAGTTACAGAATTGCATGTGGGTTGTTGTCTTGAGCAACAGGAAAAATGCAACTCTGTGGTTAGGGATGGATGCTGATATAGGAGTGCACTGAGCTGGTGTGTCATTCCTTGTAAAAACCCCCAAAAAGAAGCCATCTTGGCTAGAAATGAAAGTGAAAGCACACAAGGGCAGAGTGTCCAGACCCCTTACACCTGCACCTCATACACTGAATCTGGAAAAGTGACTTTATTTCTGCTTTTATTTTTTATGTCTATACCAGCTGACTGTGGCTAAGAAAGATACTGCTGGCTTCTGCAGAAAACACATGGCTTATGTTTTGCCTTTTTCAGATGCATTTCCTTTAAGACAGGAAACTTTAGTAGTTGAGGAAGATCTCCCTTGTCCCTTTCCCAGGCTCAGGGATAAGGAACAGGCTACAGGAGCAGAGAAAGATGAACACAGCCTGTTTCTGCCATGAATTCCTGCCACATGGAACAGGGTCTGCATGGCCCTGCTCCTGTGCTTCCAGAGCTGGGGGATCCCACCATGAGCTGGCACACCCAGCACTGAACTGTATTTTGCTAACTTGAGTTTATTCACAGACACACGAGCCTCACACCGTGGTGTTTGACCTCTCAGACACCAAAGCTGTGGTGAATGCTGCTGAGGAGATCCTGAAGGCCCTGGGTCACGTGGACATCCTGATCAACAACGCTGGCATCAGCTTCCGAGGCACAATCGTGGACACAGGACTGCATGTGGATAAGAAAGTGATGGAAACAAATTACTTTGGACCTATAGCCCTCACCAAAGGTACCTGTGGTCCACAGGATTTGACTGCTGCCTCTGCAGATCAGCACAGCCTCACTTGTGTTTGTCATTGTACCTGGTACTGCACAGGCTGAAGGGAGGTTTGGGCTTCTGGGCAGGCCTGAGGGCATGACTCTGTGGGGAATACCCCAGTGGAGATGATCCCTGGTTCCATCTCCTGACTCCAGCCTGGCAGGGACTTGGGAAGAGGTCCAGTTATCCTGTCTGCACTGACAGAACACTGGAGAACGTGGTGGGGGTTCCAGTGGAGCTGCAGCTGTCCTGGGAAGCTTTGGTCACACAGAAAGCTCAGCCCAGAGCGTGTCAGCTGCAGGAAATGGGAAGATGTTCTGGTGGCAGGAAAAGCAAATCCTGCTGCCCGCTGTGTGGGAGATCAGAGCCACCACAGCAGCCCTTGTGCAGCCTCTGGCACAAGGAATCTCCTCACAGGTGACCCTCCCAGGCAGACACAGCTTCAGTCAGAGGCATCCCAAGCAGTGTCCCAACCCCTGCACTGAAGAGGGATCTTGTAATTCCCTTCAGCATCTCTGAGTGCTCTGAAAGCTTTGATTCTTGACAGCAGCAATGGCAGGACTGTTGTCTGAATGGGTCTTTTCTGTCCTTTGCTAGCACTTCTCCCCTCCATGATCAAGAGGAGACAAGGCCACATTGTGGCCATCAGCAGCGTGCAAGGCAAAATAAGCATTCCTTTCAGATCTGCATGTAAGTACCTCCACAGAAGATGGGAAAGACATATTTGGGGCACCAGGCTGAATAAATACTTGGCTCCTGCTTCCACATTTAGCTCTCCATGGAATTGGCTGTGGGCAGGGAAGGCAGAGCTGTGCATCACCCTCAACGGGGTCACAAACCACTGACAGCCACTCTTAAATACAAAATCTTAGCCCTGTCCTAAAGTTTTTAAGGGATGGAGAATATGTTTTGAAAACAGCTTGATAGTCCTATCTTGAGAGTCACTATAATTCCATAATTTTATGGTATTTTATCCTTGTCATTTGTCTGCATTATCTCCTCTAAGAAAGCAGGAAATTTTGGTTTTAATAAATTATGAAGTGCTATAATACAAACAATGCCAGAACAAAAGCCTAAACAATCTTGATCCAGCAAACTCTTCATGCTAAATCAGTTATGACAAGAAATATTGGTGGGATTACTGGAGAAAAAAAAAGCCCTTTAAAAGATGGATGAACTAAGATGAGAGCATTTGCTACACAAGCAACTGTAAATCACTGAAAGTGAACACCAGAAGTAGAGTGGTGATGGCATATGGTGGGTCAGGAGTGATGCTGAGTGGGGGAGAGCCTGGAATGTCTGAGCCATGGGGTTTTGCAGGTGATGTGGGTCCAATTGCTGCAGGAAGTGTTCTGAGGAGCTCCCAGGGTGCTTGCACAGGGACCAGAGCCACGTGGAAGTGGCAGCAGGAGCCCAGCCCTTGCCTGGGTCCTTGCAGGGTGTGCAGCCTGTGCTGAGCTGCCTCTGGTGCTGCTGGTGTGGTGTGGCAGCCACAGGCAGTGACCAAAAAAACAGAGTCACTCAGCCATTTCATGGGGGAAAATCCTGCCCTAGGCCACGCTTCCCTGCTGTGCCTGCCTGTGTGATCTGGTGTTCCCTTTGTGCAGCCAAGCCCTGAACCTGCTCTGCAAGTCCCTAGTGCTCAGCACATGCAGGGCAGCCAGCTCTGCCTTCCAAAGGCTTTGGGTCTCCTTTATCAGGAGTGGGAGGCAGCTTGGGTTCACTCTGCAGCAGGATCCAAGCCAGTTTTGAACTTGAGTTTACATTTTGTCTTCCTAAATTGCCTCTGACTCCCACTACCTGCTGCTGCCATTCACTAAACAAAAACAAACGTAGAGGCTGGAGAACAGCTCTTGCTGAGGAGTGGCTGCATTGCAGTGAAAAATCCATTCAGAAAGTGAAAATCCCTTCAGCCCTGCTCCTCTCCCTGGTGCACAGTCCTTTTCCTGTTTTCCAGATGCTGCCTCTAAGCACGCTACCCAGGCCTTCTTTGACTGTCTGCGAGCAGAGGTGGAGCAGTATGACATTGAAGTGACAGTTGTGAGCCCGGGGTACATCCAGACAAACCTGTCCCTCAACGCTGTCACAGCGGATGGATCTCGCTATGGAGGTGAGATACCACTCACTGCCCTTTCTAAAGCATCTCCATGTTATTATGGGGTGTTTGCAACACATGGCCTCTGGTGGGAACACAGGTTAGCCCTGAAGGATCAAAAACCAACTTTGGATGCAGGGTAGGAACAGCAAGCCCCAAAATTTAGCCTTTCCAGACAGCAGCTATTGCCTTCAGGGCCGGCCATGAGGAACACCTGCCTGTGCTCCCATACACAGCTGGAGTGAAAACCAGAGCAAGCAGCCATGTGCAGTTAGAGCTTTCCTAGGAAAGGTACTCAGTGGGGTTCCCCTGCTCACTCAGCTTTCCCTTGGCAGTTATGGACAAGACCACGGCCGAGGGACAGACGGCGGCCGAGGTGGCTCAGGTGGTTCTCAATGCAGTGGGACAGAAGAAGAAGGAAGTGCTTGTGGCTGGCCTGACCCCCTGCCTGGCTGTCTACCTGAGGAACCTCTGCCCCAGGCTTTTCTTCACCTTAATGGCATCTAGAGCAAAAAAGGAGAGAAAAGTAAAGGGCTCTTAGAGCTCAGCTGCCCTGAGCAGGGAGAGGCTGAGCCCCTGCAGTCGGCTGGGACATCACTGGAGGTGCTCCTGCAGGAAAATCCTTTCTCAAAATGCTGTTTACCATTGCGTGGAGACTGGGAAGTGGTTTCCCCCACACTGCTGGAAGACAGCACCTAAACCTCAGCTGGAGAAGGAAGGGTGCTTGGACAGTGGGGGAGAGCTGAGGGGAGGGGTCAGGGGAACACTCCCTGGCTGGGAGACTCCTCACCTCACTGCAGGCACACTCAGCTTTACTGCCTGCTACAAATAAAACCCACCTGTTCTGCCTTCACACCAGCAGAGCTTGGCTGTCCCCACCCCTGTGAAATACAATCCTCAGCTGGGAGCTCTCGTGATCAGTGTCTCATTCCCACTCCTTCCAATCTGATCCAGGACATGCTGCTTGCAGTGGGAAACTTCACAGCCTCTTCCTGTTAACGTGCCAAGTCATCTGATAAATTAAGCTCAATCCAGTGCCACTTTTAAAGAAGTAACTGATGTACAATTTGGGTGTATTTGGCATCATTTTACCTGTCTGAATCATGCCCTGCTGATGTACTGGGACAGTTAATTCTGCAGTGACAGCGCTCTGTGAATCCCAGCCCAAGGAATGCAGGGAAGCACTGAACAGGCAGAACAGCACAGCAAGGCAGCTGCTGCCAGGACACACTGCACAGGTGACAGCAGCACACCTGGGCCACCTGCAGCTCAGAGCAGGGGTGATCCTGTGGCTGCCAGGCACTCTCTGGCACTAGAGAAGAATCCATGTATGTGAAGTGCAGAGTGTAGCAGACAGACCCTTTGTTCTCATCTGCTTTAATGCAATCACAGATGCTAATTAGGATGACATCCAGTGGGGAATGATACCTGCCTGTTCAGGTATCACTTCAGGGAGTCTGACAGCCTGAAGGGGTGCTGTGTTCCATTCCTCACCCCCTTCTCATGTGAGGGGTACCAGCACCACTAGGAAAAAGGAATTGCTGCACAGAGATAGGACAGAAATAATCTTAAAATTGAAATAAACTCTACTAATAGGAACCAAGGTTCAGACCTCTCCTGCCACCTCCATACATTTGCCAGCATTTTCCATGTGTCCTGCCTCACATGTCCTGCCTGGGAGTGCACATCTGGTGACAAATAAATTACATTGCTATGAAATTAATCCCTTGGTCTACTCCAGCTCCTCACAGCATGTAACATAAGAGGAAGGGAAAACAGGAGGATTTTGTTTTTCCTTACATCCCTGCAAGGTGCTATTGTACCAGTAGTAGCTGCAGAACATGCTTTATCCCAGCCCTCTTTATGGGACCTGTTAGCTTACACAGTGTGAATCCACACAGAGAATTAGTCACACAAACTCTGCTATGGGTGTGCAGGCTCAGCAGGACCTTCTGCTTCCAAAAGCCTCTTCTTAACCATTACAGATTTATAAATGACCTCTGAGATCCAGGATGTGTTTAATGATGACAATGCTGCTGCTCTGTCAGGACATCCACCCTCTGCCACCTTCTCTGTGGCTGAGGCTGCAGCTGTGTCACAGGAAGGTCTGGGGTTGGATTGACAAGGTGAAGCTCTCAGGTGTGTAGACACCTTTTTTTCCCTGTTAAGATAGGAAAGCAAGGCATTACCTTCTCTGGCTCTTCACAAGGGGAGTGTTGGTGTGAGTTGTGCTTTTCCTTTTGTGTTTCCCATGCTCAGCTCCTCAGTTTCTTGGTGAAATGCAGTGCTCCTGCCAGGCTTGTTCAGCTGCTCCATGTTCTGGTGTTTCGGGTCGTGGCTACCCAGGAAGGACCAAGGGGCTGCTTTGCATTTCTGTGTTCCCATCCAGAGCACTGAGGGTGAAACACATCAGGCCTGAGGGAAAAGTGATGTGTGGGGAGTTCCTGTAGTTCCTGTGGGAGCTACAGCTCCAAGGCAGAGGTTGCTGAGAGTGCACCCATTCCCTTTGGAGGCAAATTCCCCCTCTCTGATGAGGGGAATGCTGCACACTCCAAAGCACATCCACAAGGGGCAGGGGGGCAGCAAAGTGTGGGGAATTCTGAAGAGAGGTTTGTCCCCAGCCACTGTTGATCCCACTGAGCTACTGGCACTGGGGACAGCAGATACAGCACCACTCCACACGGATGGGAACTTTTGGAAGTTGTTTTACCATTTCACTGTGCACTAAAATACCTCTCAAGGCCCCTCTCATTCTCCCAGGACCCCTTGCACATTTACAGCCCTGACTAACAACCAGAATGTTAAAAAGCATTTTAGCTGTGTTATCACTGAGATTCCTTGGAAACGAGCCCCTCTGCCCCTCCACCTCAGAATGGACTAACAGCTGTTTTCCAATCAGACCTACCCATCATGACAGCTAAGCTGACTTTTCACCTTTCCTCCTGCAATAAGAGACCCCAGAAAACTTGCTAATTTTTAACTCAAGCCTCTGATGCCAGCCATGCATTTAGGGAACCTGCCATAGTGGTCATTCCAGTCCAAGGGAAGCTTAACACAAAAAGGTACCAGGACCCCAGAGGTTTGGTGCAGGAAAGGAACTAACAGCTCTGAGAATTATCCTGCACTGAGTAAAAAAAGACCAGGAACAGCTTTGGTGTGGCCAGGACAAAAGTATTTCAGGGCCCTCTGCAGCAATAAGCAGTAGTAGCTGTGGCAGATGTGCCACTGGCTTCAAATCCATCCAGGAGAGACTCTGGAAACACGTCAGGGTGGAAGGGCAGCCTGCCCAGCCTGGCCTAACCACTGAGAGATGAAGTAGTTGCATTTCTTTGCCTCCTCTCTGCCAAGGCAACTGTACATTGTTGCTATAAATAGAGTTCTGGATCGCAGCTTCTTTTAACCTTGGAGAGAGCTCAGCCACTGTACGAGGGGCTGCTGCCACCCAGAAATGTCTCAGTGCCACTGGAGCTCCTCCAGCCCACTCAGGTACAGCTGCCTGTGCTGGTGCTCAGGGCTGGGACACCCAGCAAACCCCGTTTGCCCAGCACAGACAGAATGGGCTGCATGTCCTGCTCACAGAAAAACTGCCCCAGCAGAGAAGCACAAGTCAGAACCGTGGTCAGAACAGCCCATGGAGGTGAGGACAGGGAGTCCTTGGTGCCTGCTGTGGCAATTTGGAGAGATAAAGGCAGAATTTGGGGTCTGACCCCCGTCAAGGTCAGTGTTTCAGCTGTGAAGGTCAGGCTGCAGCTCCCACTGGAGCAGGGAGCACACAGTGCACGGGCAGCTCTCACTGCAGGCCTTTGCTCTCCTATTCCAAATGTAACACCTGGAGCTGTGCCAGGCTGGCCCTGCCAACGCCAGCCACACCTATTCCCCATGTGGTGGGAGGAGATTACAGACAGCAAGCCCCTATCTTTTAAAAATAACTGGCAGATGTCACAGAAGAGTAAATGCTTCCCACTCTAAGAACAAGATTTTGAGTTTAGAGCTAAAAAATGGATTAATGCACAGGACTGAATTCTAAAATTTCAGGTAACACAGTTACACGGTGCACTCACGTGGATGCCTTGCAGCAGGAGCAAGCAGCTCCTGTGTTCCAGGCAAAAGCAGTGGAATTGTGTGGTCAGGGCACAGCACAAAGGCAGGACAGGTAGACTCCCACCTTGGCAGCCCCCAGCCCTGCATGTGGCTCAAGGCATTTCAGAGATGTATCCACCTTAGGAAGAACTCTACAAGAACTGAGCAGAATGTGTTTGTACCTGGACACTTAAAGTGATATCACTTTGATAACAGGGACAAGAGAGCGAGAGCATTTGAAATTCTCATCCTTTAATGGTCAATGATAACTTCTGGCTGGTTCTGTGTAATACAATTAAACAATATACTTAAATGTTTCCCAAAAAAAAAAAAAAAAGGAAAAAAAAGAAAGCAGCTCTCACACCCCTTCTTTCTATTGCTTTCTTTCACTGACATTCTGCTGCTGGATTGGACTCCCCTGGCCTAACATACGGATCTCAAGTCACCACACATCCACATCTCAAGTGTAACGAAGAGCTGAAAAACCTTGGTGCACCAGTGATGTGTTATTTGAAAAATAACAGCTCTATCAAACCAAATCCTTCCCAGTCTCCACCGCTTCTCAAAGAGGAAAAACAAAATGTTACTGTGGGAGTCTTAATACACTTGTCTTTGTGGGTTTCTCTCTTCCCTGCTGAAGTCATACAGCATAGAGTTCATAGATCTTCTTTACACAGTACACCAGGGCAGCGAGTGCTATCGTGTTGTGCAGTCTCTTTCTGTGCAGGTCGTCCTTCCTCACCAGCACCACGGGAGTGGACGAGGTGAGCGTATGCAGGGGCAGGCGCGAAAGTTTATAGGCATCGTACTCGACCTGGTACTTGCAGCAGGGATCAAACTGCCAGGAGATCCCGTAGAGGGTGCAGCAAGCCACGCTCAGCACTCCGGCGGGCAGGGAGATGTAGTGAGAATAATCTACTGGCAGTGCCAGGGGGGTGAAGAGGCAGGTGGTGCCCGCCAGCACGGCCGTCTTGTGCAGGCAGTTCCCCACGGTGATCCAGCGCGCCGTCTCGTCCCCGATGCGCGTGGGCTCGATCACGATGTACTTGTACTGCGCCTCCAGTGCCTGCTCCAGCTCGTACTCAAACTGGTCCTGAGCGTTCTCCCCGTTGTAGATCTCGTGCACAATGTAACAGTCCGTGGAGGACAAGGTCACCCTGGTGAGGGGAAATGGAGAATTAAAACTACAGGGCTGAAGGCCAGGCTGTTCACCCACCCGGATGGGAGAGCAGGACAGAAGTGCCCCAAGTGAGGGCAGCCTCTCAAGGTCACTGCCTCGGTTTCACAACCAGCGGCTTCTCAACTCAGGCTTCATTTCACATCAGCTGATTATTCCTGCTGTACAGTAATTCATCCCAAAAGAAGGCAACATATTTTTCTTACCTTTTCCTAATCTGGAGGATCTAGAACAATTTGAGAAATAGGGTCTTGTAACAGTCCTGAAATAGTTTCTCACACTGATACCCAAGCAGAAGCGTCACTCACACCTGAGTGACCACAACACATCACTGAACAAACCCCACAGACTTCAGGAGCTTTCACAGAAACCAAGACAAGCAGCTCACTGATCAGGACAAGCTGCTCTGGGAGGTCTGGAGAGAGGAAGCATCTCCAGATGAACACATTTGCTTTCTGATGCAGCTTGCTATTAGTCCTCCGTATTAACACAGCCTAGTAAATCCATGGTAAATCCAACAAGGATGGCCAAGGAACACTGCTGAAAGGGAAGGTGAAGAAGGCAGCAGAGCATTCAGTTTGTGGCAGAATGCTTCCCTCCCTCTCCTGAAGTGGGATGCAGCAAAGCAAGACATGAACAAGTTTTTGTACTGCTTAAACAGTGAAGAAAGAGCTGCTCACTTCACCTGGGAGCAGACTGCCTGCTCAGGGGATTCAGGGAACTTGTATTGGAGCAGCAGCTTTCAGCTACTTGATGTCACATCAATTTCCACCTTCCCTCCACCACATCACCTTATATCTGCAGCTACCTTCATGTAGAGACTGCTAAGAAATAGGATTATGACTGTTCACCTGCTCTGAGAAAGGGTAAAAACCTGTCCATCAGAACCAGGCAAAATCCTCCCTTCTATGCAAAAATGAATATTTCTGGCATACTTGTGCTTAACCAGAGCAAAACTGAGCACGTGGCCTAGCAAAGATAAAAATATCTAGCAGATTCCTTTAGCAGAAGGAGAACAAATCACACATCTGACCTAATCACAGCAGACAAATCAGCCTCATCCCAACAGCATTAGACCCCCGTGATATCGGGAGGAACACACTGCTGATGTGGAGAACAGAACGAGCACTTTTTGCTCCATTAGTACAGTGGTACTTATGTGCATGCACTGGAAAATAAGGGAGAAAAATACACATTCACAAGCTGCTGTGGCCAAACATTATCCTTAATGTGCAGCTCCACTCAGGCTGCAAAGGGGATTGAGCAGTGGCCAGCTGTAATCAAGAATATTGTTAAATTACAAGCTGCTGCAGACATGGCTGGGTTTGTGACAGCAGCAGACATCAACCAGCAGGACCTGAGAGGCACCACCCTCTCCCAAAGCAGAGTCATAAGCAGTTTCATTAAAAGTCAAGCTGGAATTTATATAACCTACAAGGAAAACTCAACTTACAATGTAGTTATTGAGTTCTTGCAGTGCATTTCCCCCTTGGCCTGTTCATGGGTAGAAAGAAAAATAAAAATCCATGCCAGGGGCTTCTTTAGGGCAATGAGTTGTCAGACATTGGTGGGAAAATTACCATTAACCTTTTCAGCACATGATGTGGTGGGCTCTGATGTTCTGCAGTGAATTGAGATGTATTTAGAGTAAAAAATTAAGAACAGGATCTATATAAGAAGTTTCTAACAAGAAAACAGTTAAGCAGGTATTACAGTGACACCAAGGACACAGCTGGTCATGGTTTCTGCCAAGGATTCTTTTCCCTGATAACAGCTGCTCCAAGTGCAGCTTCTTCCAAATCAAAAATTCCAGTTTCATTGCAAAAGACATAGAGAGGCCTAACTGCACACCACCACCCATGACTTCGTGAAGCCACTTGCTAGGGTATAATGACTTCAGGGAAAAGCTATTGCTGAAAGGCATTTTCAAGCTGGAAGCCAACCCAGTGCTAACTCGACTCTCCAGACAAAATTAATATTTCCAACAAGAAGCACTTTCAGTGTTTTGTAATACCTAGGAACATGCAGATGGGTGGGCAAAACAGAGAAGCAGAATCCAAATTCAACAGAGAACTTCCCAGAGGCTTAGGCACAGCACAGTTGTCATTCCACATCTCCCTGTCATCACTGGGAAAACAGGGATGAAGTGAGCCCATTCCTTCTCTGCCTGTGCAAGAGCCATGGGAACTGAGCTTCTAACTCTAGGAACTCAGTATCTACATTCCATGGGATTTCTCCAGGCTCAGCAGCAGGACAGGTGGCACTAACCCACCAGCCTCATTTCTCCTTGCTCAGCTCTTGCCTGTTCTTCCCTCTGAACACCCCTTTTTTCCTTTTATCATCATTGCACAAGCAGAGCCACGCCACTAACAGCCACCTGTCAGCAGGAATCCAACACTGGCCAGAGGCAGCACTGTCCATCTCCTCTGGAATTTTCTGGCTTGCCAGACTGGAGCTTTATAACAATAAAGTAAGAAAAGCACATGCTTTTTTTTTTTTTTTTTTTGGCCTTCAATGCCAAGACAAGCAGAATTTAAAGTATGTTCTGCTGGGAAAAATAAAAAATCACTGGGAACTGAACAGCACAAAGGCTCCGTCCCTGAAAGAGCCTGCCCCCCAACTGTGCTGTTTCTCCAAATGAGTCCTCTGAAATCAGAATAAATCTCTATCATAGTGCTGAAGCTGCAAATGGCAAAACAGCCAATCCAAAAAAGATATCTGCTTAAATAGGACATGTGAAGAGTCAGCAAAGCAGGCAGCAAGTCTCAATTTCTGCACAGGGATGTGGGGTTATCATGTATTATTTCCACACAAGAACTGGCTGTCCCTGGAGCATGGAAAGCTGAAAACTGTTTGGATTTCAGACAATACAGAAAGAGACACAGATATGTGAGCTTGAGGAGGTTTCAGCTGAGGACTTCACAGAGACAACTCTCCTGACACAGCAGCTGCACACCAACAAATCCAGTCAAAGCAACTGGATTTGCTCAAACACTGGAGGCTGTGGAGTTTGCCTTTTGGAGCTTGTCACCCACCCTGGCCATGACAAACACAACTGCAGAGCTGTGCAAGCAACTCTGGGCTAGCATCCACCACTAATCCGGTGTGGGGATTTGATATAAACTCCATTTTACTTAAAAGAATAGTAAATAACCAGAGAGCACCTAATGCCAGAAAACATAAAATGCTGCCAGGTGTTCAGAAGCCTGTTTACTTGATAGACCAGAGCCTAAAAGCAGTTGTTAGTATTATTCAATCAAATGATTTTCCAGGACCTGTCTCCCCACTCCAAGTAAGAGGGCACAGTTAAAAAGTTGTAGAGCTGTTCTGTAGGAATAGTTCTAGGTCTTATATCCAAATATTTGTTCTACTGCAGCTTTAGGCATTCTGTATTTGAGAACTTTCAGTGTCTCATTCCTGGTGCTGAATGAATGCCTGGATGGGAGAATGTGACAGAACTCTCAGCTATTCAGCACACCAAGATGTAAATCACTTAAAACTCAACAATGTCAAATTTTGGTATTGCCAAAGTTAAAAATAAGGAATCCATTGTTAACAGAGCTACAGCAGCAGGAGGGGCAGAAGTGTCTGTTAGCTATAGAGCAAGCTTCAAATTACATTTGGATTGTCTTCCTAACATGGGAATATGGGAGAGCACCAGGAGAGGGTGAACAATAGCAGCTCCAGCAGTTCATGAAATCCTGAAATGGTTTGGGTTGCAAGGGACCTCAAAGTCCATCCTGTTCCACCCCCTGCCATGGGCAGTGACACCTTCCACTGTCTCAGGTTGTTTCAATTCCCTTCCAACCCTGCCTTGGACACTTCCAGGGATCCAGGGGCAGCCACAGCTTCTCTGGTCACCCTGTGCCAGGGCCTCACCACGCTCTCAGGGAAGAATTTCTTCTGAGGTTCCAGAGCAGCTCCATTTCTCTGCCTCCACCTTGGAAGCAGGCTCCTGGAAACAGCAGCCTGCCTGGTAAATGGAAATTTCAGTTGGACAGTCTCTATGGATGAAGAAATAAGTAACATTCCAAAGAGGAGGCACAATGTCACTCCATGTTTTGCCAGGTGCCAAGTGGCAAAAACAGAAACAAAGGAACAGAGCACTGAGAACAAGGCAGGGGAAAACATCCTGGGAGAACCCTCAGCATCCTCCTACCACTGCCCACCTGCAGGGAGAAGGGCTGAGCCTCCTGAGCTGCCTTCAACCTAATGGCACCTGCCACTTTTTTGGTGAGGGTTTCAAGTAATCCAACTATCTCAGTTCTGGACAAAAATAAGTTCTTTTGAGCCCCTCCCATAACATGTAGGTCAAGTTTGGTAAAGTTTTCTTTCCTGGGCAAGAATTTTGCTCAGAGCACCAAACAATCAGATTAACTGAAAATGGAGATCAGTTTGATAAGTAGTTAAAAAAATTAGAAGAGAGAAGCTTGCAGCAGTGTGATAACACCTGGTCACAAGCAGCACACACAGCCCAGCTCAGCAGTGCAAGAGGGGTTTCGTGCTGGCTGTGCAAGATCTCAGAAAAAGGACATTACAGATGGCCAGAGCATGTCTGGGAGCATTGCTGGCACCTCAGCCAAGCTGGAGGAAGTCAACAGAGTCAAGGCATGACAAATCCAAACACTAAACTTCCCTCCCTCCAACATAAATCCTTCCTGAAATTGAATTTTATTTCAAGATTAAGGAATGAGCTGTGGCCTGGCTTTAATTCTCAGTGGAAATATTCCACCTCCCAGTCACATTCCCCCGTGTATGTTTCTACTCAGGCTATGGTGCACAGAAAGCACAAACACATCCCACCCTGAACACCTGGAGAATTGTTTCTCTGCTGAAGGTCCCCACAGGCTCAAGCCCTCAGCCAGGGCTGTCAGGCCTGGGGCTTTAAGAAGGGCACTCAAGCAGAGGAAGAACAGGAAATGCAGGGTAATAAAGCAAGACTTGAATTCAAAAGATGCACCTTTAATTCAAATAGGAAAAAGGACAGGAGAACACTGGGAAGCTCTTCAAGCAGCCTTAGGGAGGGACAACATTACCTGAACTCTAAGGAAAACATCACCAGACCATTACAACAAATCCAGCCCCAGACAACAAAGAGGTGTCAATTTTAAGTCAACTAATGATTAGCCAGGCTGATGGAAATAGGTCAATCATTGCTGCAAGCAGAGCACCAGAAATCTGAGCAGTGCAGGTAGCAAAAGGGGAGCTCTGTGAGGGCACAGAGCAGCCAGTGCAGGCAGTGGTGATGGCATGGAAGCTGTTCTTTCCAGAGTTTGTCAGAACATCTCTCAGGGGAACAAACAACATGCTGTCCACTGCTCTGGCGGGCACCGGGCTGCCTTTTATACAAAAACACCCAGTACAATCCTGTGTCTGTTCTGTATGAAAAAGTTGTTTTGGTCTACAGATTAACAATTCCCTTTAGACAGGCTCCATTAAAGAGTCTATCCAGAATGAAGAAAAACAAATATTTAGCTGGTTCCCTTCAGTGTTTTTGGTTATTTTGTTTAACATTATTATTTCACCACCAGAGCCAGCTGGAGTTCACAGTCAACATCCTTTGAAATTAATGTCCTTACATTCACCCCTAGCAAAGAAAGCACTTTTAAACCAATTATAGCTTTCTCTGTATCAATAAAGTCACTTATGAAGGGACTCAGTCTCCACAGATATGCTGGTCTATTTTTTTTTAAATAATTTTAAATGAAAGCTGCTCTAGTCTCGCAGCAGACAGGATTTTATTCAGTACTGAGTCTCCTCACACCACCTCCGACACACAAGATGCCTTTTAGAGCGGCTGGCTGACAACTACAAACACTCCTTGAAACAGCTCAGTCACCAGGAAAACTGGATCAGCACATTCAGTTCAAAGGAACGTGTCTTTGGACAAGAATCCTGCCCAGAGTAAGAAAACTGTATTCACCCTATAAAAAGCACATGTCATCATGTGATGACATCAGGTCTGTCAGCGCTGCCTTTGCACAACCGGTGCTGCAGCAGCCGGCACGACGGGCAGGTGTGGTTTGGGATCAGCCACGGGGACAGGCAGAGGCCCAGCCATCCACATCTCCTGCTCTGCAGCTGCCAGGGAGAAGCAGCACCTCGCTGACATCACCCAACACCTTCTGGAATTGTCCTCCTGTCACGTTTGTACAGGGTGACACCTAAAGAAGCACCAGCTTTTGGTGGAGATTGTGAAACGCTGCTCAGGGGAGGATGTGCTGTTCTGTTCTCTTCCATACCCTTCTCACTGGCAAAGGAAAAATAACACATGCAGCAGGTTCAGGGAGTGACTCGTGTTTAGGAATAGTTTTGATCATAAGATCAAGAGCAATCACAGCTTTGAAAAAAGATCACCTCAAACAAACAATTAGATTATTGTACAGGTCATGGATGAAGTTACACAGTAACAACTCACTTTTAAGTCTGCGCCAATTTTCACCCTGGAAGAATAATTGAAGTTATTAAGTGTTCTTTTCCATATTCTGTTTCTTCCCTTCTGCTGGGAGGACACGTCTGCCACACGAAAACTCCACACCTCCCATGCTGGGGCAGTGCCAGCCCGGGGTGCAGACAGTTTTACCACTGTGGTATTCTTAGCTGTTTATTTAAACCACGCTGATGCAGGAATTCCATTGGCCCTTCCAGTTCAATTACTTTTGAATTCCCTGAACACAGGCAGCATTCCTGCAGTTCACATTAGTGCCAGAATTTTCAGGGCTACTTGTGGCTCTCCTTGGCCGGGTAGATTCAACAGCATCAAAGCAAACGCTGTTGGATCACAGCAGGGGAACAAAGTGAAGCAAAAGCCCCAAGACAAATGAAGGGGGATATCAGGGTTTCTAATTAAGAGGGATATCAGAGTTTCGAGGCGAGGCAGCAGGACAAAGGAAAACTCAGAGAACACTGCAGCAGCTGCCGGTTACATCAGTCAGCCCTGGGGCAGAACAGAAAAATGCCAACGTCAGGAAATGCGGGATAAACCCAGACATTTTCAGCAGGTGGAGGGCTGTGCACACAGGTTTTAAAGTAGTTCGACCAGACACTGTCTTAAGCTGTGCCAGGGGAGATTCAGGTCTGACATTTGGAAAGATTTCTTCACAGAAAGGATGATTAAATACTGGAATGGGCAGCCCTGGGAGGTGGTGGAGTCACCGTCTCTGGAGGTGTTCAAGGAAAGACTGGGTGGCACTCAGGGCTCTGCTCTGGATGACGGGGTGGGCATCGGGCTCAGGCTGGACTCGATGACCTCAGAGATCTTCCGAACCTAACTGACTCCGTGACATATCCCTCTGTCTCTTTTCCCCATCTTAAAGTTGCGATTCCCAAACTTCCACCGCTGCTCCGTGGGTATTTCCAGCCTGCGCTGGCCGCTCCTCCGCCCCGGCAGAGGCCGGAGCGCGGTCCCGAGCTCCCTGCCCGCCGCGGCCCCGGCAGAAGGAGGTCACCCTGGAGGACTCGCCGCTCCCTCCCCGCCTTTAAAAATAGCCGTGGACGGAAGGAGCCACCCGGGGCCGGCCCTCCTCTACCCGGCCCCCAGCGCCGCATCCCGCCGCGGGCAGCGCTGCCCCAGACACGCCGCGGGCCGCGCTGACCTTCCCCGGGCCCGGCCCCGCCGAGCGCCCCCGGCCCCTCCGCGCCTCAGCGCGGCCAAGCCGCCGCGGGCGGTGCAGCCCCGCAGCCCCCGCCGCCCCTCGCCGCCGCCCGGCCGCCCCTCACCTGTCCCGGCCGCCGCCGCTGTTGGTGCTGCCGGGGCCCGCGCGCCTCCTTCCCCACGCCGCCATCTTGGAGACACTCGCCTCGCAAATGTCTCCGCCGGCGGCCCGCGGGCGCGCCGCGACGCCCGACGGAAGATGTAGTGCGTAGGGGAGGAGGCGGCCGCTGCTCGGGGTGGGGCTGAGCCCGCCAAAGGACTACAAGTCCCACAGTACATCGCGCCGCCGCACGGCCGCGGGGGGCTCTGGGGCGTGTAGTCCCCTGGACGAGGGCGGTGGGGGCAGGTGGGCAGCGCGGTAAGACCCCGGTGAGACCCCCAGCCTCAGCCCCGTCACCGGTGGCGGAGCGGCTCCGAGGGGCTCGGATCGGCTCGGCCCCGCCGCCCGGGATCCTCCAACCGGTGGGAGGAGCGCGGCGGCGAGTCCCGGCCTGCCCCGCGGCCCCGCCGTAAGGAGATGCGGCTGGCCAGGGTGGGCAGCGCTAGGCAGCCTCAGCATCGCCTCCTGATCCAAAAAACCCAGAGGGTTCCGTCCCTGGAGCATCCCCTGCAAGGAGAGGCGGTGCGGTTTTGGGGTGAATTTCGCCCCTTTAATCAGTCTCGAAAGAGGGGCAGTGAATGGGGAGGTTCCCCTGCTGCAACTCTGAGGAGGAATCAATCACAGAATCACTTAGGAAAAGACCTCAAGATCATCAATTCAATATAAATTTCAATACCAAACGCTTCTCTAGAATTGCAGTGTAGGTTTGGTGCTGCCAGAGGTTTCCCAGCTCCTGTGGATCCATCAGGTTTTGTTTGGGGAGCTTGGATGGTTACTCCAGGGTGCTTGAGCCTCTGCAGGGCTCCCTCTTGCTCCTGGCTGGATTTCTCCCAGAAGAGGAGCCTCTTCATCAGGAATTTTAAGTTCTCCCTCATCAAACAGCAGCTCCTTGCTCCTCACCCCCTCCTTTCTGGGAGCCCTCCTCCATCCTGGCAGCGCTGCCTCTGCATCTCCCATTCCTAGAAAAACCCTCTTTTTGACAACATTATTCCCAAGTGATGTAATGTGACTGAAGAGAACAAACCCCTGGCTGCCTCCACCTCCCCAGGCATCTTGCAGCCGGCAGGGCCCTCCCCCAGCGCTGCTCTCTCAGCTGTATTTTGGGGGGCAGCTGTTTCGGGGGAGGAACAAGGAGGTGTTTGGGAAGCGTGCCCAGCAGCAGAACGTGCAGCAGTGCTGGGACAGGCCGGAGCATGGACCGTGTGGAATGTGGAATGTAAACAGAGCGTGTTACCAGCAACAGCCCAGCCACAGATCCCAAGTGTCCCTCGGGAGCAGCAAACCCCACGCTCCTGCTGCAGCCCAGGGGCAGCTTGTCACGCTGGATCAAATCATAACTGCTCTCCACATCAACCTTCCTGGCAATCTGAGTTATCCAAACTCCGGCCTCGGCCTCTGCAGCCTTCACTGGGAAGTGACACAAATGGCCTGCGAGGATCCTGAGTGCTCAGGCTGTGCTCCCAGCCCTGGGAAGTGCCTTGTGTCCCTCTGAGTCACCTGCCTGCCCACCTTGCTCTGGACAAGCACAGCAACTGGGTATTTAAGTATTTTTGTGCCCATCATAAAGCAGTGGACACAAACACTGAGCGTTTGCTCATTTGCAGGACAACTCCCAAAGACTGGCCTGAAATCCCAAGGAGGAATGATGAAGGAGAGGCAAAGGAGGGGAACCAGTTGTGATCCTGCTCATCCTGAGCTCTGCACAGTCATCAGGAGGTCAGCCAGCCCTGTGACCTCAAACAAAACACAATAATTTCACCCCTTACCTACTGATCCTTTGCAGCGGGAGCATGTGGTCCCCGCAGCACAGCACAGCCACTGCAGCTCAGTTAAGCCACACTTTTATTGTATTGTATTCCATGCATTATGTTCATGTTTTATAGTACGACAGAGGGAGGGATCAAGATAAATGTTAAACATAAACAAGAGCAGAAAGGTCGTTTGTAACAGGTCCTGAGAAGGAAAGGCACATCGTAACCACCGAATCCAACAGAACGGAAACCTTGGACAGAGGAAGACAACGCTGGAGAGCGGATGAGGGAGGGGGTGTTTCAAGTTGGGGGCTGTGGAAGCAGGTTTGACAGCCACCTGCATTCCCCCACCCACCACAGGTCTGTAGTTCAAACGGGTTTGGGGAGCTCAGTATTCAACCAAACCACTTCCACACTCCCGTTGCCCGGGGAGAGTCCAGGATCCCAAACTCCTCCGGGCTTAATCAGCACCAAGGGGCAGCACAGGACTCAAAACTCCTTTCTGCAGACACCAGCTGGGAAAAGGCAGCTGGTGGGGAGCTAGGGAAGGGCTACCCAGCACCGAGGGACCCTGAGCCAGGTCCCACCCGGCCGTGCAGGGTGACAGGAGCACCGTGGGCTGCGGGTATTGCTATTCACTGGCACCGAGGAGGAGGGAAGGCTGGCACAGAGCATGGACACGGCAGAGAAATGGTTGGCACAGCCACTGGCACACATCTCTGTCAGGTCAGACGCCGGGGGGTTGTAGCACCTCGAAGGGAAGCAGCAGCAGAACCGTGGGCTGTGCGGATCGAAGGCAGCGATCGCCGCGGGGATCCAGCGCCGGGAAGCTCGAGGTTCCTGCCAGAGCAGCATGGGGGCTCCAGAGCCAGGCTGGACACGGGACTCTGCCCAGAGAGTGGGCACAGCACACCCTCCAGAGAGCTGACACAACAGGGAGCTGCTGGAGAGTGCACACAGTGGAAGTGAGCACTAAACCAGGGCAGAGCTCAAGCATCGCACCCAGCCCTGCTGTGGCAAAGACACGAGTGTCTTGTCTTGGCTTCCAGGGGACAAAACAGCTCAGCTTCACCTTGGAAGCAAGAGAAGGGATGGTTCACCCATCACAGCAGCACCAGAGCCAGCCTTGCTCCTGTAACTATGTGTTGAAGTGTGTTTTGCATGTTAAAGAAGGAATATTTAGCAGCCCACATTTCTTCTTGAGCCCCTTTAGTTTGTCACCTGCCATCCTTTCCCAGCCCCTCCAAGCCACCCTAAAGGTCACAGCCTGGGTGAAATAAGCAGCAGGAGGGCACAAATGAAGCAGAGGCAGGGCTGAGCTTGAAGCCTTTCCTGAGCAGCACAAGGCAGAGGTGGCTCTGCCCCCTGGCACAGGTGGTGGGCACGGGCAGGGGTCTCACAGCCTGCAGTGTGCAGGGCAGGGATGGAGGCTGGGAGTTTTGGAAGCCTGAGAGGGCTGTGCTGTGCTGGTGATGGGCAGCCCAAAAGCATGGGCAGGCAGCAAGGGTTCTCCTCAAACTGGTGGCCAGGGGCAGCTCAGGCTGGAATCCTGGAATCCCTTTCCAAAGGGTCTCCATCTCTGGCCACCCCAACCAGGAGAGAAGATTGTGGGAGTTTTTGCCTTTGCTGCCATGCATTTTGTGCTGGGCTCTGGGAAAGGGCTGAGCTGCCTCTCACCTGGGGCTTGTCACTCCGTGGCACAGATTGTAAACTTTAGTCCCTGCTGAGCTGAGCAAGGTCTGGGTTTGGTCTCCAGGTGAGAGGCTCTCCATGTCCTGCCTGGCTGCAGCCCCAGTGTCTGCTCAGGGCTGGGGGTGTTGAAAACATCATCTCCCTCACCACAGCCCTGCCTTGGCAGGCTACAAAGTCCTAAGAGCTCAGTGTGAGATGCTCTGAGGTGTAGCTCAGGCCCTGGAAAATGCAGGTAAGGCAGGACAGGCAGCAAGCTGGAACCTGGCAGTGCCCTGCCATCATGGTGTTACCTCCACATCTGAGTGTGGCAATGCTGGGTTGTGCTACAGAATCATCATCCACCGAGGTAAGAGAACAAAATGAGGGGGTTCCTGCTGCTGGCCAAGGTCCCCACGATGCTGCCAGTGCTCTGAGCTTGGAGCTGTGAGGAGGCCCTGAGCAGACAGGTAATGCCATCAGCCAGGGCTTCTTTCCCAAGGCTGTAAGGAGAAGCCATTGGAATCCAAGTGGATGCAGGCAGCTCTAGCACTGAACCCTGGGGATGAGCCAGGAGCAGGTCCTGGAGGCCTCACCCTGCTGCTCTCAGGATGTCCTGATGGGGCTGATCTGGGGCACTGACAGGGATGCAGAGATGGAGGAGAGAGAGGTGGGGAGAGCCTTCCTCTTCAGCTGCAGGAAACCACCCTGGTGCCCTGGGATGTCCCTCACCGCTCAGGCCAAGGCTGGCTGTGGGGCTGGTCTCTTCTCCTGAGCAGGCTGTGTCCACACCAAGGGCAGGGAGACAGGAATAACAGTCCATGACCCTCTGGGATGCCACTTCAGGGTTGTGTACAGAAGCTGGGCAGGAGCTGGCATCTTCATGGAGCAGCATCTGCAACTCACGTTTCTTCCTCTGCACACACTCTGCCACTGCAGTCCAAGTCCACTCCTCACAAGGCTCTTGTCTCTGGGCTCGAAGGTGTCACCATCCCAGTGTCTCCAGAGCCAGGGCAGCAAAGCCCCTGAGGTGCCACCATGGTCCACATGTTCTGGGATGTACTGCACGTGGCCTTGGACACGGCTTGGTGCCCACCAGCTGCTGCAGGGGATGAGCCTGACACAGGGCTGAGCTCCTCCAACACCTCCCTCTGTCCCACAGAGCTTAATCCACAGCATCTCCCCAGCTGCCAGGAGGAAAGGGGGGCTGGTACCCCATCAGCAGCCCTAACCAACATCCCCCAGCAAGTTCAGAGCTGTCGCCAAGCAGGGGGGAGAGGATGAGGTGCAGAACAAGTCATGCCCTGGCCTTGCGATGGAGTTTGGTGGAAAAATCACCCTCTTCTATCCCCTGGCTTGGGAAAAGCACTGGTGGGCACCACGTGTGCCCAGGGGCCATGCTCACACGTGGGCAGAGGAGGAGGTGCCCGCGCTCTCGCACCGCATGGACACGCTTAAAAAAACTGGGAATTGCCAGAGTGGGAAGGGGTTTCCTGAGACTGCAGAGAAGCCAAGGCCGCCTTGAACAGTCAGGGCCAGGTGTGCTGGTGTGGGAGCAGTCCTGCCTTAAGGCTGCAAGTGTTCCAGGTACTGCGGCAGCGGGTTCTCCTTGACGTATTTCTGAATGTACCAGCACGTCAGGTGGGCCTTCAGGTCCTCCTCCACCACAAAGTCCAGGGCTGCCTGCAAGCAGGGCACA